CATTGTTAGTTCTAATGGACGTTTATATTTTGTATATTTCTGTGTTTGACGTTTTTATGAAAGTCCTCGTTTCGCAGTGTTTTGTTTTTATTTGCTATGCGGGTTTTAAAAACTGTACTATAAGTAGTGAGTCAAACAAGTACAGTAAGAGTGGGAATTAGATGTCCTAAAATAAATGTATGTGAGCCACGTTTAGGTACCTACCTGTATACTGAAAAGGGAAGGAAATAAGCTTTTTCAAATCAATTTTACCAATATTTCTCGGAGACCACGGTCGGCACGTTTAATATATTTTTCCCTGTCGCCTCCGGCTGCTATTATCACAACGGATAAGCACGTAAGTCTCACATATTTCAACTTGACTAAACATGCGTCACAGCGCCTGCTATAAAGTTCGTGGCATTATGCGCATTGTGGGTTACGATGTGAGCAGTGCGGTAGGCGCTGTTTGTATGATCCGAGTCGGATGCTACTCATGAATGTATAATGGTTTATGAAGTAAGACATGAAATATGTACAGTTGTATACTTTTTTGAATACAAGTCATGAGGGATAAATCCATCTATATAAAGTTGTTAACTACTTACTTACTAACTGTTGATATCTTTTTTTCCCGGTTATGTTTCAGGATTTCGCTTAGACAGAGGTATTAAAGTACCTAGATGGATTTTTGATTATTGTTGTAATGTGTTTGTGTTGTAAACTCGATATGTTCAGAGCTTACCTGAAATTTGTTAGTACATTTGTGTACCAATTAATGTGTGTGTTGACGACAATGATTTGGTTGCTGCACAATGCGTGTTTTTAAGCGGATTTACGGATTTCAGAATGTTATCACACTGGCGATTTGTGAGTTTGTATTTGTAGATATGATTGCAATTTGGATGGGGATCTTTGGCATCTTATTAGTTACAGGGATTTGGATATAATTATTTTAAAGGATTAGTCCTTAGTCCCTACAACGCCACCCTAAACAAAATTGGTAATATGACAACAGTTATCCTTATAATAATCAAGGTGTATGAGAGGTACAAGCGCTACATACTACAACTAAAATAGACTCAACGTTCAAAGAGAATTGAAGACGAGCGTACCTATATGAAAATTGAAATATTTGTCTCGTAAATTATAATCCCATAAGTACACAATATTATGTAGATTTTGTGTACAAAACCACATATTAGTTACGTAATGTTTCCCTTATAATCTGAATTCGGCAATGCCTTATTATTGAAGGAACCTTTATCAAACCTTCATCAAGGAAATTCTGGCATTTCCTGATTTACGTTTTCGTTATCGTTTGTTCGAAGCAGAGATTTATGAACATCCTTTCGAAAATAGACGTTAGAACTTTAGAATTTTCAATATTATAAAGTTATTTTAAATCGTATCTAACTTGATATCACATCACCTACAAGATACCTGTAGGTAGGTAACATCCACTTGTCGCCAATTATATTGTGAATACCATAGGTAATCTAATAGGGATGCCATTCGCTGTAATTCTGGGCTCTATACAGATACCTGTTGGGAATTTTGCAATTCGCATATCAGTGTTATACTAAGCCAAACTCGATAATTAAACCTTATAGTCCAAGAGCCAGTGAACCCTGGGAGTAACGGTCTCCCTGTAAGGTTAGAAATTTGTATACTTACGATTTATGGTATTCTAAGAGCAATAGCCATGACCTGGCAGGCGTCAGCCCTGCACGTCATCAGCCCCTTTATTTTTTGAACTGTTAAGTAAATTGGGTTTCAAAACTTGTTTCTGTAAATTTGGAAATTTAATAGGATAAAGTTTATTTATTGTACATCTTAAAAAAAAATTGACAGGTGATTACAATAAGCAGAAGTATATGACAGATCAATTAGAAAACGCACTGTTGATGAGGTAATAATTAAACTTTATCTTGTATACTTGAAATTTTTATATGTCTTCAAATAAACGTCTCAGAGTAAATATGTACAATGCCAGGCGGTTTTGAACAGCATAAGACATTGACAGGCGAGGGTAAATATGTACAATGCCAGGCGGTTTTGAACAGCATAAGACCTTGACAGGCGAGGGGACAGCTGCTAAGAGCGTGCGAGAAGTGTCATGAAGATGGTACAATACATAAAACTCAGAAATCAGCAATGGTTGAAATTTTAAAGGCAAATGTCAACTGTGAAGACGTACCAAGACGTTTTGATGTTGTCATTTTTGATTTTTGATGGATTCTTCTTACTGCATACATTAAAAAATATCATAAAATTTCACCATTGCTGATTTCTGAGTTTTATGTATTGTACCATCTTCATGACACTTCTCGCACGCTCTTAGCAGCTGTCCCCTCGCCTGTCAAGGTCTTATGCTGTTCAAAACCGCCTGGCATTGTACATATTTACCCTCGCCTGTCAATGTCTTATGCTGTTCAAAACCGCCTGGCATTGTACATATTTACTCTGAGACGTTTATTTGAAGACATATAAAAATTTCAAGTATACAGGATAAAGTTTAATTATTACCTCATCAACAGTGCGTTTTCTAATTGATCTGTCATATACTTCTGCTTATTGTAATCACCTGTCAATTTTTTTTTAAGATGTACAATAAATAAACTTTATCCTACTAAATTTTCAAATTTACAGAAACAAGTTTTAAAACCCAATTTACTTAACAGTTCAAAAAATAAAGGGGTTGATGACGTGCAGGGCTGACGCCTGCCAGGTCATGGCTATTGCTCTTAGAATACCATAAATCGTAAGTATACAAATTTCTAATCTTACAGGGAGACCGTTACTCCCAGGGTTCACTGGCTCTCCAGCTATTAAGCCTTCATGTAGATTTCAAGTACTAGTAGCGAAGGAGCTATGCACATTTATATGTAGTTAGGTATATATTGTCATTTAGTGCCATATAATTAATTGTCTACCACAGAGTACCATTTAACGGACAAATGAGAACTCTCTTTTGTGGTTATATCCATTAGCGTCCCCTTGTTATTTATTTAGAGGTGGATAATTTATTTTGCCGAATTAATGTCAACTCATTTAGCTTTTAGGTAAACGTACCTTTGACGTGGTTAGGTATTTAGGTACCCATACTTTGTTTATTTTTTAAAAAGATAAATCGAATGGTCTATGATTATGAAGAGCCTGAATGCATTTGAAAGGATGGTTTTCATTATTAATTGAGTTTGTAAACCACAGATTACTTACGCATTTTTCTTTTTGAGACTGCCTCGTTGGATGAGTGAGTGGTCGCAAGTGCGACTAGTGCAAGGGGTCTCGGGTTCGATACCCGGGTCGGGCAAAGTAATAAAGGGTTTTTAAAAAATTCTCAGTAGTAGCACGGAGTCTAGAATTGTGCCCGGTACATGGCAATAGGCTTACCCCCTATTACATAGGACTCATGACATAAGTAGTGAAAAGTGGGTGTTACATTGTACAGTGGCATAATGTACACCTCTGCCTACCCCTTCGGGGATAAAAGGCGTGATGTTGTGTTATGTTTTTCTTTTTTACCAATCAATTATTTTTGGTAGGCTACCAAATTATTTGGTTTTGTAAAGTTTGTATTATACCGACTCACAATACATTGTTTTATACTAACAATAGGACAAGGATACGTACAATGAGAACAATATCGTAAATATTGGAAAACTTCGCTCGATTTCATGTTTTTATTTCTTTCACGGAGTTCAAACAAAAAATGTTGCCCGTTCTAATTTGGATCCTGTCAATGTAAGATGGATGAAGGTATAAGTATTTAAATGATAAGATTCAAATCGCTATTCAATCCGAACAGTACACGTGACGGTGACGAGTCCTCGCGCACGAGAAAGACGCGCCGCACTCCGTATTGAGAACAATTCAGTTTGAATGCCATTCGATAGGCATCACTCTGGCTACTGATTTAATCCACTGCGAAAATTGATATAGCCCTGTACATGTACCAACCAGGTACGTAGGAATCTTGAATACTATAAGCTTTTGATTTGATTCGTCTGTGTTCGTGATAAACAAACAGGTTTTGATGTAATCTAGCGACGGGATCTAATTGTGCGGCTCTGTATAAAACCGCCATGGGGATATACAATGGTGCTTTAGAATTTCCGCGACGTTATCTCATCTCGCACCAATGCCCTGGAGCCGGCGTTCCTGCCTGCTAATGTAGGATTGGACGACATTGTTTGCTTCGTCACGAGTGAAACTGTCTAACTAATTGGAGCATTTGGAATGGTCAGTACGTGGTCTGATACTGCGTCAATAGGCCCGTCTCTGTTTTCGTATACGTAATAACATAATTAGCTAACGAGGTTTATTTTATTACCCTTTGGATCATAAACAGAGAATAGATGTCTTAATTTTATTTGTTACTTTTCAGTTTAATCATTTTATAAAGTCTGAAGGAAAATATTATTCAATCCGTTGAGAGTTAACATAGTTTGATGCAGCAGGCAAGCTTGAAAACAGCATTTTAAAATGTCTAGATACATATCCAGTAACTTATTCAGATAAACAAGAATACATTTTTCTTGAGATTTGTGACGCGTATTCACTCTACGTTGAGTAAATCTAAATAGGTAGCCATATTTGTTTATTACACATAGTGAAAACAAGTTATTTTAGTATTTGTAAGCTTACGCTTTGTCGTGCTCTACTGAGTATAATCCTGCTTATGTTGAAAATCTGATCCTTTTGATTCTTTATACGATGTACCTATTTGAAGTTCGCTATTATTTAAGTATCTATGTACCCGTAGGCTCTGAAATTTGACTTATTTTAATTAGAATTACGTTAACCTACAGGGTATTTATAGAAAGATAATAATCAAATAATTATTCGGAATTTCTTGTATTTGTTTAGTTAGTTAACGTGAAAATGAGTTTTATCACAGGGGATCAATATCATTATGGTTCTATGGTATATTTTTACTGTGTGTAACTAATTGTATGATATGTAGAGGTGGTGAGAGCGCGTTGCGGCGGGTTGCAGGCGAGGGCGGCGGGGCGGGCCCGCGACATGAAGAGCGCGCGCGCAGCCCGCCCCGGCCGCCATGCAGCGCCTGCGCACCACATTCAAACGATCACGCACGCCCACACCCGCCGATATGAAGACGCAAAGTAGCCTCGAGGTACCGAAACAGGTGAGCATAGCATATTCGTAAAATATTATGTACCTACTGCCCAAAATTTATTGAGGTTATCCAATGTAAAGGGTATATTATTGAAATTGAAAGCTAGCAGTCCATCCCAGCTCCAAATCACTTAGCTTATATTTCTCAACTTACTGGTCATACTTTTCGCTTTACGCGAAAGATACAATTTTTCACATGTCCAGGCCAGAAAAGGGGGAATAGACATTAAATTCTTATTATTTAAAATTATCTATTCTCCTACTCGAGAATTCAACTTTAAAGTCCCCGCCATATCGCACTTAGACCAAAATAGTATAGTAGTATCAACTCATCGTTTCATATTGTATATACCTGTAAATGTACATTGGCAGGTCCGGTCGGCATCGTTCGATGAGATCCAATTGGAGGCTGTGCGAGGCTCCGGCGCTAGTGTACTGTTGTCGGTACCGCAGCCGGGTGCGCGCAGTCACTCCTTCGATTCCGCCGGATCTGATGACTCGGGCACATACCTTGAGGTAAGTTACAATATATTGCTATAGAGAATGTTTCCAGTATTAAGTACAACGATCACTTGAAAATAGCTCCGAAAATTAAAACGAAATGTGTTCTAGGAATTTCTTTGTATGAATAACTAAATTATTTATATTGAGAATACAGAAGTGTTATTTCTTTTTTGGGTAAATTATTTAAATTATACGAAAAGCTTATCAAACAAGTACACACTTGAATAAAGATATTAATGAATAATGTAGTACGTACCGTACTTATCAACATTTTCGTTTCCCTTAATTTTACAAACAGGCAAAGGCCGGCCTCATCAATGTCTTCCGTGTTATTCCTGATGAAGGGTGCTCCTTGAGACTACGGATTACGTCAACATTAGCTTTGACGTCGGTTTCAGAGCGAGATGAATAGACTTTAATGAGTACTTAACTTGCATCAAGCAATCTTTACACTTAAATCCAAATAAACAAGGTTCTTTCTCCATAATTGTCAAGGCAAAAGTACGACCTAAGTTAGTTTGCCGTGCGTTTCCTTGCTAATTTATTAATCGCAGTTTGTACAGGAGAAGTTCGGCATGAGTGACTTAATGGATTTACTTAAGTTTAAAAAGGTTCCATTAAAAATTCTATCTGGGTAGGTACTCATGTACTGAGTAAAAGAATAAGGTTTAGCGTAGCGAGGTTGTCAATTTTATTTAGTTTTTTTTAAAGTGCTTTTTATATCATGTATCAGATTAACCCTCTCTGATTCTCATTCTCAAAAGTACCAATCTTAATTTCTAGTTACTGTTTTTTAAACGTAACGGGAACGTTTGTAAAACACATTAAACGGAATAATAATAATATTTATAAGGAAAGATCTCACGATCTCATTTTGTGAGGAATACTTATGGCAATGTTTTCAAATGAGCATGTTGTAAGGTTGAGTGAGGATTAAATAATAGGGTAACAAGAAAATGGCGTAAATAATTAATTGGGTTTGTAAATGTCGAAAGATTGAAATGTGGTTTACTTATGAGTGAAGAGTTGAATAAGTAAATTATAAAAGGAACTTTATGGAAGTGGTTATTTTACCTTGCTTGTATAATCTACCTATAAATGTTTTGAGGTAATATTTGATAAACAAAACAAGCTAACTGGGTAATATAAGGTTGAAGTTCTCAACTAAATGAAACGCATGCTATGCATATTAAACTAGCTATAGCAAGCCAATAATTCTAGCTTTGCTGTGTCCAGGGGGTATGTTCAAAGTTAACTATGCCGCGGTTGGATTTCTGTAAACCGTAGCGGTTTTTGCCTGCAATAAACATTCTGTGGTACGCTCATGTGTGTAATAAATAAATTGTTTTATATAACGCTTTTCCATTCAGTTACCTACTGTATTCATATTAAATCGGTGAACAGGAAAATATACAACGTGATTGTAACAGATAAGCTACTTTCTGTGCTTCATTTAATTCATACATATTGTTTTTGTGGCAGGTACCGCGTCTGTGGTCCCGACGTCGGTCTGGTAAAGGCACACCTCCACCATGCGTGCACTGCCGTCACATGGAGACGTGGCTCGCTCGGCGCAGCGAGGAGCGAGTCACGCCCGAACGAGCTCTGGCTTCTTCGTCGGCAGAAGACGACGACGAAGAGGACGAGAGCGAAGTGGAAGTGCCTCAAGTGTTGCTGGCTCCTCCACCGCCACCGCGAACATTCCTGCCGCCACCGGTACACTCGCCGCCGCCGACTCCGGGAGCACCGTCCTTCGAACTGCAACCGCCCGTAGATGAACCTCCAATACTACCACAACGAAGGCGTTCCATATCTAGACAAGAAGCTTTTTTTGTGGAACCTACGGGCAGTTCGCTTGAAAATGTTCGTGCTTCCGAAGAAGAAGCGGCTCACGCTGCGAAAGACAGTCTCGTGCATGACATCTACCTAGCTGTTCCCGAACTAAAACGAGACCGCGCTGCATCAGTCGATTCATGTTTTTCAAAAGTTTCTGGTGGTCGAGCTGAAGAGTTGAATGGTACCGGGAACTCTCTCACAGTTCCTGGCAGTGGACTTAGATCGAGATCTGTGGATATAGTGTTACCTACTGCTGAGCAATCGAGATATAAAGCGCTAGCATTGACATCGGCTCAAGTGACAACTTCCGCGAGTCAGCAGAAACAAGAAGAGCCAGTGACTCAAGTGGTGCAAGCTGCAGACTGCAGGTTAGTGAAATCCGTGTTTATATATTTTTCTGCGAATTAAATACATTTTATTTATAATGTTCTTTTATTTACTTGGTTTTAGATTTATATTTTTTTCTATTTCTGTTTACCTTTGTTGTGTAAATGGTTTTTCATTTATTTATTTATTCAGTTTGTGTCTTGTATAAACATTACCGTAACAACTGTTATTTTATAAACGCGTACTACTCAAGTTAATGAAGCCATAAAGTGTTATACTTAATCTCGTAAAAAAAGATCTAAAAGGGTGTTGATTAAGGCTCGGTTCGAGTATAGAATACGCGAACGTTACGGTCGATTTATGACTACGAGTTTACTACAGCCTACAATGTACAAGTTGCTTTATTTTCTACTGAAGTCGTTGATCTATTGAAACGTTTTATTATCTATCTTAGTGCGACTTTGTATTGGTATATTGAACTCCAACGTCAAAATATCTTACAGAACTTACTTCTGGCAAATCGTGAAGCTTTCAATCAACCAATAAACGGCTTCAAACATTAAAATGACAAACATTTCATGAATGTAAATATTGACGACAGTCCTGTCGACGAGGTCATTCATATGTCAACATTGAATACAGTTATATCTTTTTAAAAAGAGTAAATGAAATGATAAGGCATCACATAAAATGAATCTATTTGATCGTAATGAAGCACGATTTAATAAAAAAATAATAAATAAACATTGTTTAGTGCGGCGCATTCGGCCGGCTGTGCAGATAATCTGGCGGCCGATTTTGTTTATCTACCGACAAATTGATTATATACGATCCACTGAACCGAAAGCTCTAATAAGTTATTGGCGATTCTGTTTTTATATCGCTACATTTATTTCTGGACTACTCATATTATTTACGTCGTTGTAAAAGCGAATTTTAACTCTATCGCAAATTAGAAACACCTGGAAATTAGTGAGGAGTGTGGACAGAAATAATGGTTTCAGGACGGATGTTTGTATTTGTTGTGTGTTTAATCAATAATAAAGAAAAGCTACTCAACTAACTCGATGTTATATTTAATTAGGACAAGTATTTCGTCAAAACCCAGAGCACTTTAAGTAAATATGCAAAATACAGTGTTCAGTCTTTTAAGTTTAATTACTTATTTAGTGACATTATTAACCATTTATTTTTATTAAACTAATATGGCATCTACTTATCTACTAAATTAATTTATGTATAGTAAAAATAACATGAAGGTATGTGGCCTATAAACGAGCGCGACTGAAGTTATTGCTAAGATATTATAAACGTCAAATGCAAAGACATCACGCTATTAATTTTCTTCCGCATTTTAATTACGCATTTTTAGTTCGATGTATCACTCCACAGCTGTTTATATAGCTAGGTATATCATTCATTTGATTATAATATCTAAACCTTAAGTATAACAGTCTTAAATGTCATTTTCGGTTGATTGTAATAAATAATAATAGTACCTATTTGAAAGCGTTTGCAGTGATCTTCACGTTTGTCAGGCAGGTTGAAGATCGCATTTTAAAAGGTTCGGGCTTATCAGAGGGTGTTGTTGCCCTGTCTCTATCAAATATGCAGTCCCTTAATTCTGTAAATCTAAATGTAAACGGTAAATTTAGTTTTTACTAAGACACTAATTAAATAATTTAATACTCATTGAACAAATAATAAAACCATTCGATAGACTCAATCTCCGAATTTAAGGATTGGTGGGGAGCAATCCTTAAATTCTTAATCCCCAAAAGACCGGTTAAAAACTTGTAACACCTCTCGTGTTTTGGGTGTCCATGGGCCGCGCCAATTAATTATCTTCAGGTGATCCGTCTGCTCGTTTACCGGCTTATTCCATAAAAAGGTACCTTTTCGTAGGTAAGTAAATAAATAGCAACTAAAATGAAATATTTACTTGTAATATAATATTACTTTTCCTGGTTCTAATAAATTTCCCGTTATTAAATCAACAGTAGTCTGGCTATTGTTATACCCATTATCGATAACACCGTGTCCGATTCAAGGAAATTTAGAAGCAATTGTAGAAAATGTTGTTTTCAGTAATCCCTTACTGTAGTGGTGCGATTATTACAATTACTTGTCGAAAAGTATTATGCTCGGTTTGTACACAATTCCTTTTAAGCATTGTTCACAGGCTACAATAGAATTTTATAAAGCTTTTTTATAGTTCTCACCTGCATTATGACGTACTTACTTTAGTAACACAGACGAGATTTTAAGTGAGAAAAATCCTCATCTGGGTATTTCAGTCTGTTCTTTATTTGCTAGAAAATTAATTTATGAATTTTATTAGAAAACGTTAGTAGAGGTTGTAATGAAATACTCAGTTCTTTTTGAAATAATTTGGATGTTATTAAAAATTACACAATCAAATTGTTATAAAGAGTATGATACATTAACCTTTCATTTGAAATAAGCTCGTATAATCATTTTAAAACCAGAATAAATTAGATTTAAGTTCACTTAAACAAACACACAATTATTTCATACATACTCAGAATAAAAACTAACTATTTAAAAGGACTTTATAGTTTTATATCTTTTTCATTAGATAATGTACATTACATACATAGTTATTAACGCATGCATTCCAGATTATTAAGCATGAATAGATAATGTAGATAATCTGTAGCGGCACAATAGAAGTGGATGTACTCCAGCCGCAGCCGCAGAGCAAATAGTTCACGACATTCCACGGATTCCACGGTTGAATAATGCGGAGCCGTAAACCTCTACTTATGATTATTGTATGTACCTACCGCGAATACCCAGACAGCCGCGGGATGCCGGCCCACTATGTGAACAATATTTCTCCAAGTCGTTCTCACATTTATTTTTCTAGATAGGCGGTACTTTAGAGCTTGACAGCGCTACGACTCGCAACCATAACGATACTAGATTGTACACATTTGCAGGAAAATCGTACCTCAGAATAGCGAATAAACTTGAGTGATTTTGTTTGTTAACATATTTACAGAAGTTGTTATTGGCCGTGTTTGATCTTTGTAACAATGGATGAAGCCATATGTGATAATTGGCTTCAAAGGATATTTCTTCGCTATTTCATTAGTGTGTAATTTGACGCAACTACTACGTATAGCGTTGTACCAAATTACATATTCCTACTTTTTAATATTCTTAAATTATTATGATACTAATATTTTAAATTGGTGTGTCTAAAACAGCCATTTTGATAACCAGTTTCTGATTAATACTTGAACGATTAATTTGGTAGTGATGTGAGTAGTAAGACAACATTTTTCTAGCTAGTCATTAAAATACATTCCTAATACAAAAATGTGATTTAAATAATGAAATCGGTTTTTTAACATAAAACGTAAATTAAGTAGGTAGGTACGTTTTGAATGGAATTGCCGAAGTAAAGAGTTTTACTGTAATAGATTTGTCTACCTATTCACAAAAGTGCCGTGGGTGGTTACACAATTCTATTTCTCGCAGACTTTTTGTTTTATAAAAGTTGGTTTTCGAATGAAATTTCTACCGCACTCCTGTATAATTTAGGTTAGCCGGGAAACGAGTCTTCTTTGCATATGAGATTTTATTTCCATATTAATCTCATTAACACATTTCCAGTTTTAAACAATGCGTTACGTGACTTGCTTTTTAACATGTGAAATGAAAATATTTCAAGCTTTTCATTATATTAAAATGGGTGGTACTTTATAATTTATAAGAGCTTGCTTCGTAGATTAAAGCATTAAAAATTTAGTTTCTTTTAGTGCTTGCATGAAATTTTGCTCTAGTTTTCGTTCCTAGGTACAATCTGTGTTAGATAAAATTAATATTAAGAGGATACTGACGGTGGCGTGTGAGCTAGATAGCTGAGCTTGGTTGGCTAGTAAAAGCCCGCAGTGGAATGAAAGGTCAGCGATAATGTCACTCAAATGCATATTGTAGAGGAAAAACCCGAGTTTGATAGTTTAGAAAAATCCTAAATAAGTATGGGATTGTGAGTATGATCATAGATTAAAAGTAAAAATATATATGTAGTTATATTATCTTTTATTCTGTTAACCTAACTATGATATTTATATATCAAGATAAAATAGTTTCAGTTGTTTATCGAAATACGGTATATAAAATAGTACCTACAATAGATGTCTATTATAGACACGTAAACAGTAGACACCATAATGAAGTGGGTTATGTCACCGCATAAGCCCCACGTGGAGCTCATTAGCGCTTTAACTACTTTATTCATTATAGGTACTGTACCTACTTCCTGATGGAACTGTGGATTTGTTGAAAGATTGAACGCTCATACAAATAGTTCATGTTATATTTCCATACATATTTTGTATTCAAAAACTGTATGTTGTACAGGTACTGTGTAAGGACATAAAAAAATACTATTTTGTTAAAATAGCACTGGAGTGGGATAGATTAGGTATTTGTCATAAATGGCAGGTAAATTCATTCATACTCTGTGGCATTACTGAAGCAGATACTAAATTATAATAGTCAGTTCTCTAAAATTCGCAACTTCGAATTCAGTACTCGATGTCGTACATTCAAATATATTGAAGACGTAGGTAGGTAACAGAAAAGTGTCGATTTTTAAAAAGCACAATGTCATTCTTTCTTAAAAATAAAATGGTGGAGAATAAAAATAAAACCAAAAATAGAGGCTATATTTTATTTGAAGGCACATTTACACACCTACATCACGTGAGCAAACTGCTGCCGTCCGACGAAAATGAACCACGTCGGTGAAATAAAATATTGTTTGACTATCAACGAACCCTTTCCCAATATTTGCACACATTTTGTTCCACTATTATTCTATTCACCTACCTTTTTTTTCAAGTTTTCCAATGTATGTAACGGATACGTATGAATACTAAATCTCACCGAATTGTTTTTTTACGAAGCTCCACGTTGCGTTGTGCCGAAATGTGTCATGTTTTCGAAACATGTTCCCACTGAATTGTAATTTTCATGGAATAATAATTACATTGTTCCACGACGACAG